TGTAGCTGAGGCGTTATCTGCAAAACAGAAAGCTCGGTCTATCATATTGTATTAAATCTTATCTTACCATCTCACATCTTACTATCATACTTCACAATCGTAATCATATTTTTTAAAACCGCACTTGTTTGGAAAATTTGGATACTGAGAAATTTCACCGTACCACAACTATACTCCAGTTATCACCTACCAAAAGACTGCCTGCATGTCTTGAAAGATATATAAATACCATGTGTACTGAAACACGGAACGACTGCACTGCGATCAACCAACTCACTAACCTCGTCAACACATTTGCTGATCATAACTGCAATCGAGAACAATTCCGCCAATTCCGTTTTAACTCGACACAATCGATCGATCTTAACGTCATCTGGTATGGGAAGTGGATCTCTGAAAAAGAACAAAACATGCGATAAAACACGATACGCGATTAATTGGAAAACGAAAACAGAGGAAAATTACCAACAAATCAATGAAAGCATGATGGAACATTGTTCTTCTATAAGAAACTATGAATCCACAGGTCTCCAAAGAGGGTAGAAAACAATGAACTAAACTAATCAAAACACTACACAATTGATCAAAAAACACACAAACTTTCAGAGAAAAAACAAAAAATGAGCGATCATGACACACCTTATATTTGGAACATAACGTAGACGACTTCTACGCAAATCGATCAGTTCACGTTCAATATGCGACTTCGCTCGCTGACACCACACCGATAACAACTTGTCTGATATCTGAAACTATCACCAACTGATGACTATATCACTAATCAGTGATTCGTTTACTATTCATCAAATTGCGATTGTTCAACTGCAGTCAGAAAGTATCAAAGCAACACAACCTATCATCCAAACAAACAAACAAACAATAACAATAATAATAACTACTCGCTCACATCTCGATTCCTTCGACTCGGCTCCTTTTTGACATCTCGCTGAGTCAGAATCACTGCATCACCCAAAATCTTTAACGATGCTACCAGACGTAAACCTGCAATATCAAGTGAGCATATATAAGAGTACAAAATTTTCAAATGCAAAATAAACACCTTCACATGCCACTATTACTGCCTGGCAGTGAATGCATATGTGAATAATATAAATGAACGAAAATGTGAAAAAAACGAATAAAATTTTAACAGCTAGTGACTTCTACACTAAATTTATTCATATTAATGAAAAAAGAAAACAACTCAAGTATTTACCAATGAATTTCAGATCAAAAACAAACCATAAACAGTTGACTGATTGTAAAATGTGACTGGATTTAATTCGAGCGACGGGTCGAGCACATTCAACAGTTTATCGAGCACATCACACGTCGCCAACAACCGATCATTCGGAGTGCCCACTCGCATCGAGTCAATAAACGCCATCGCTATCTTCACATTCAGTTCGATATCCGCCGGTTTCACCGATACACCTATCAAATCATCCGAAAATTTTACAAATCGCAATTACAAATCATTCACATATATCCTCTCACTGACGGAATCCATTAAAATATCTCAGTATGCCTTTGAACTTTACTCTTTTTGCCTCGCTTCACCTCGATCAGTTTTTATCAAATTCACTAGAAATAACTTCTAAAAAAATTTACAATTGGGCGAAAATCTATCGAAACTTATTGATATGCACATACCATCATCTAGGAATTGATTGGCCAACTGAGGTGAGAGAACGCCAAGTTCGAAAATTGATCTGAAGAAGCACTCCACTGGTGCACTGTCGAAATTCACGCAGACTGACTCGAAGTTGTGTTGTCGTTCTTCCGAAATCGACTTGAAAAGAACTTCAGGAATCTGAAATCTCTTCCATAATTTACTGCGTAAACGTTTTCATTTCTCACTCATGCATGTTTTTTTTCTCCTTTCCATCTATATTAGTCAAAAATTTCGATAAACATTATGGAATTCCCATTGGTGTTTGCTAAAACTAGGTGAGCGGAATAATGCGATCAACGAATTAAAAAATTTCACCTGTCTTTTCGGTTTTTCAAAACACTCATCGAACCACGACAGTACCACATACTTCACCGTCCAATCACGTCCGTTCAGTACGTCCAACAAAAAATCACGTGTCTTCTCACCGAATCGTACACCTTCATCTGCAAATCAAT